TTAACATCTACATGAAGCCATTGGGGGAGATCTTACAGAGTTTTGGAGTTTGATGCCATCTGTACACAGATGTCCAACTTGATCACTCCTTTCCACCTGCTGCTAAGGAGGCTGTTCAGGTCCTGAACTGGTGCTTGGTGGCTATGATGAACTGGATAAGGGCGAACAAATTGAAAGTGAATTGACAAGACAGACGTACCCTTGGTCAGTTGAAAGGCCAAACAGGGTATAGGGTTACAGCCTGTGGACAGGGTTGCACTCTCCCTGAAGACACAGGTTTGCAGCTTGGGTGTTCTCCTGGATTCATCGCTGAGCCTGGAACTCCAGGTTTCAACAGTGGCCAGAAGAGCTTTTGCACAATTAAAGCTTATGCGCCAGTTGCACCCGTAACTTGGGAAGTCAGACTTGGCCATGTGGTCCATGCTCTTGTCACCTCTTGAATAGACTACTGCAACACGTTCTATGTGGGACTGCCTTTGCAGACTGTTTGGAAGCTCCAAGTAGTCCAACAAGTGCCAGCCCGGTTGTTCACTCAAGCGATGTACAAGGAGCATACCACCCCCCTGCTACATCAGCTCCACTGGCTGCCAGTCTGCTACCGAGCACAATTCAAAGTGCTGGCTTTAGCCTATAAAGTTCTAGATGGCTCCAGTTCAACTTACCTATCTGAACATATCTCTCCCTATGAACCGGTTAGAGTTAAGATCGGAGGAGAAGCCCTGCTCTCACTCCCACCCCCATTGCAAGCACAACTGGTGGGGACAAGAGACAACCTTCTCAGTGGTGGCCCCTCGGTTATGGAACTCCCGATATATCAGAATGAGGAAGGGAAGGATAGAAGGAAGGAAGGTAATCAAGAGAAGGATGGAGGGAAGGATAAAAGAAAGCGAAAAAAAGACAAAAGGGAAGGAGGAAGGAATGAGAGAAGGAAGGAAAGACAAAAGGAAGGGAGGGAGGGAGGGAGGGAGGGAGGGAGGGAGGAAGGAAGGAAGGAAGGAAGGAAGGAAGGAAGGAGAAAGAGGGAGAGAGGGAGGAAAGAGGGAAGGATGAAAGGGTGGAAGAGGAGGATGGAATGAGAAAGAGTGAGAAAAGGGATGGAGGTAAGGAGGAAGGAAAGAGAAGAAAGGAAAGACAAAAGGGAGGGAAGGAAGGAAGGGAATGAAGAAGGAAAGAGAAGGAAGGAAAGACGAAAGGGGAGGGAAGGAGGGAAGAAAGTGAGGGAAGGAGGAAAGAGAAGGAAGAAAAGACAAAAGGGAAGGATGAAAGGAAGGAAGAATGAAAGGGTGGAAGGGAAGGAAAGAGGGAGGCAGGGAAGGAGGAAGGAAAGAGTGGAAAGAAGAAAGACAAAAGGGTGGAAGGAAAGGAGTAAGAGGGAGGGAAGGAAAAAGGAAAGAGAGAAGGAAGGAAGGATAGGATGGCGAGAAAGCCTGAGAAAAGAGCCCAAGGGACCGCATCTGACCCCCGAGCCTGGGTTTACTCATACCTGATCTACACTGTAGAATTAATGTAGTGTGACACTACTTTTAACTGTCATGGCTCAATAATATGGAATACAGACAGTTGTAGTTTTATCAGGGTTTTAGTCTTCTGCTGGTGTCCTATTTTGTGGAACTGTTTCAGAAACTAAAAAAATGACAACTACATTCAAAAGTAATTTTTTTTAATTTCAACTCTATAAAGTATACAACAGGCACTCGGCAATTACAGCTGCAGGGAAAATACAGAGCAAAACAAAAGCAGTTAAGTTTATGATAAAAAGTTTGTTTGTTTTTCTTCAGTCTACATCAAAAGAGTGCAAGTGGTCAACGACCGTTAGATGAAAGTGTATCTTGAACACATAAAATGAAATCCTCCCTCTTTCACCTAGGATCCTCAGTACGAAGAAAACCAAAAGGAAACAAGAGCTGTTAAGATTATAAAGGAAATCACCAGTGTAAAAACAGCGTATGTTGGAATACGTAGGCAACTTTGATAGGATTTCTCTTTGCTATTAAAGCCCAAAACGGCAGGGTTCCAGTGCTGTGGGGTGAACTGTTCACGGAGGAAGAGGACAAAGGACACACTTTCAGTGTTTTGCTTACAAGGTGAAATACTGAGAGTTTGACTCAGAAACAGTTTGCATATACATGAACGTATGGTTGGATTCAGCTTTAGTCCTTCTTAGAGTAGACCCATGGAAAGCAACAGGACTTAAGTTAGTTATGACTAACTTGGCAATGAGGTCCACTGTAAGTTAAATCAGGATCCAACCAATAGAAAACATTGGTCCTGTTTTGTTCAGTGGTGCAACAAGTTTTATTATTATTATTATTATTATTTGCAGTCATTGGTTTCACAATGATACGACTAAGATTTTTGTTTGGTGTCAATTTTACAGTCAATTTGCTAATCATTGGTCTGACTGGAAGGTTTTTGCAATGTCATCTATTATAAAACGTGATATGTTCGAACTTTTACTGCACTACAGTTTTAAAATTTGCACAGCTTAGCAAAACAGGAATACCTGTATACAGACTGATAGTATGTCATATATTAATTTGACCTGCACATACATTTATACATTTCACAGAAATGACGCTGTATCTCATTAACAGATACACAGCTCTGGTACATTTATAACAGAAATAAGAGAACAACTTCATCATTTCTGTAATTCATCAATATTATATAATAAAGGCTTATAAACTGTTAGCCGAAAGAACTGTAAAACGCAGCAAGCTAAGAAAGGACAACATTTTGAGGTGTGTTTGTCTTTGTCATGCAGCATAACACCAAATTTGTATTTTTTTTAAATAGGATGCCATGAATTTAAGGCACTTGCAACAATGCCAAATAACTAGATGAGGTTCTAAACTATGGGACAGATGGACAACGGTACAGTTGACAGAAGTTTCAGTAATACTGACAATTATGACATTAATTCAAGTCTACGTTGAGCTAAAAACATTACCTTACAAATAAGAAAAAGGAAGGAAGAATGCAATGAAGTTCTAAATCAAAAGCTATTATGTGTACCACAAAATATCAACACGAAAAAAAATCTATTTACATAAATATTTGCTTGTGGTCCTATTATTAAATAAGAATTTTCCGTGGATAATGCAGCACTGTAATGAGCTCATCTGTACCTTTAGAACCCAGTTCTAACAAACGTTATCTTAAATATGACAGCATTATTTTCCAAACGCAGATACAGCATTGTCCGTACTTAAAGGGGAGTAGAGATGCCATCCGACAGAAATTAGTAGGGAGTAAACCCTTCCAAATTGCACAGATATTACTCATGAGCAAGGTTATCTGAGGATGGCAGCTATATCAATAATAAATAGTCTACTTTTTTGCCAGGCACTTTCTGCCAAATACCGCAGGTTTATCACACCAAGCTGTAAACTGAAGTTCCTCATCTAGATTAGGCCAACTGAGCAATTCGTTTTTCGGTACCTGCCAGTGGCTGCTAATGTGTGCAGTAGGACTTGGGAAGCTTACGGCATCACAACTTTGCTTCATATGTTGAGTTACAACTTCAAGTTACAACTGGGGATAGAGAATTTGCACACGGGATGCCATTTTTTTGGTGTGATCTGCGGAGAGAGTAACATATGGAGCAGTTCTAAGAGACAGTGCATTGCAACATGAATGTAGGTGATATATATATGTGTGTGTGTGTCTATATATATATATGTAAATGAAATATATTATTTATAAATGCAAAGTTTACTAATATACATATGCTAATTTCAAGTTGTTTAAAACACTTTTTAGTAAAGAAGATGTAAGTGAATTATAATGAGAAAATAAATTTGTATTAAGTGCATACTGCACCAGGACATATTACTGAGTGCAGATCAAGGATAAATGGAAGTAATCAAGCATAATAATTCATACAAAGCTCGCTTTGAAACTGTCCTTGTCTGAATATTTCTCAGCTAAGGGCTTTGAGATAGGGTTTTTATCACTGGAATTGTTCAGGCAAAAGCAGGATATTTTTATGTATATAATCAGGGGGAAATAAATTACTGTAATCAAATGAACACTTTTTTGCATTGAAGTTAATTCAGAACAGGCACATAGTCATACGTGGGATGCAGGGAATGCATTGTGGAGGTGATTTCAACTTAAATCTGGAAAGGAAGTGACTTTTGATCAATATTGTCTCAGCCCTAATATCAAATGTTATTATTATTGATGCCATTTTAATTACTGAACGGCCAGTGCTTAGGAAATGGAACAGATCTATCAAGCTTCCCTGTACACTCCAAAGAAGCATTGTAGCTCCTGCTTATGCAATTTTTGACCAGAACCGCCTTAGACAACTCCTAGAAAGTTGTGGGGCTTGTCTTGTGTGTAGGTCAGCCAGGGGAGGATCTGTTGCGTTAACAGTGATGCAACACTTGGAAGCTCTGAAGCACATTAAAATCGTGCTGATACATTTGCTTTGTGGTTAGGTTCTTGTGCTGCCACAGATTCCTACACTTGATGTATTGGAAGCCTAGCTGTGTCTTAGGATCAGTTCTGTTGTGTATAGGTGATCACCTATAATTCTTTCATCATAACTTGTTGACATGCTTGCAAATAGTAGGAAAATGTTTTTAGAAGCCAGAAACCTTGTTGCTTTTTATTAGGAGTGAGGTGTAAACAAGACCACATGTTGACTGCGATGTGAGGGTGGGTCCCTTGTGGTTCTCTACATATTCTTGGATTGAGGATCCTATCATCCTTCATCAGTGATTATGCTAGTTCAGATTGATGAAGTTGAAATCCAACATCTGAAGAACCACATGTTTTCTATCCCTGCTCTGTGTGTAAAAAAAATGAATGAATTCAGAAAGAGAGATGCTATTATTAAATTGGTGAGAATGCATGGAAGACCACAATATATTTTCTTCCTTTCTTCAGAACTCACATGTTCTTGTCTATTATGCTAGACTAGGAATAACTGAAAGCATTGGTCTGAACAGCTGATAAATCTTAGGAAACCTAGATTTTGATTTTTGGAGACCCCCCCCCCCTCCCGCCTTCAACTGAACTACTTTATAATAACTCTTTGGAGGAAAAACTATACTGACAATAGAGTTGTGAGGCATTCCTTAAATAATATAATTTAAAGCCACTGCTGTGCTCTATATTTACCAGTATCTGCTCCAGCTACTTGGCTTGAAACATGTTTTATAATCTAGAGACAGGATATGAAATGCTATACTTCAGAAATTAGATTTGATTAAGATATCAGTCCTATTTATGCTTACGTGGAGAAAACACAAATGAACAAAATGGAATTGATTTTTGAATAAGCATGTATAGGAGTGCATTGTGTCATAGCTACATTTAGATAGCAAAGATACCAATATCTGCCTCACTGATTTCAACGGCAACTTTCAACAGCTACTTTCAAGAAGAGGGCCTTTTCAGTGGTTGCTCCCAGACTGTGAACTCCCTCCCAAGATAGACCAGGATGGCCTCATCACTGCTTGCCTTTTGCAGGCAGGTCAAGACATATCTCTGCTGTCATGCATTTGGGGGATGATGAGGGGCACATTGGTGGGGAGGTTGTGGGTGGGATTTGGGGAAATAGTGGCCGTTGAATGTCATTTTAATATATTTTTTAATTTTAACTGTATTTTGACTTTTGTATCCACATATGTTTAATTTTTTAAATTATATCTCTTATTTTAATTTTTTATTGGGTGCATTTATTTGTTAGTTGCCGTGAGTTCCTATGGGGAGAAAGGCAGGGTATTAATGATAATAATAATAATAATAATAATAATAATAATAATAATAATAATAATAATAATACAATTCTATTCATGTGAGTTTAGTTCAATGGGAATTACTCCTGAATAAGTATTACATACTATGTGCATGTAGTTCAGTTTGAAAGCCATTAAAAGTTAGCTCGAAATATTGGAAGAGGCAAATAAAAGGGTTGTGTAGCGGGAGAAGTTAGGAAAAACATACATGTAAAATAATTGGAGGAGGGCAAATTATAGAAGGGAAATTAGAAATGAGCAATAAGCAAGTTGCGAATTGGTTGAATGAGTGAAAGGGATCATTTTCTAAGTCATTCTGTATTGTGTGATATTTCTGAAGTGTGGATTATTACATTTTTTATTGTGATAATAAGAAAACTGGTAATTATAAGGCTCTTTTTGCTGGTAGGTGTCATGTAGACATGGAAGGCTTCTCTGGGATTGTTGCCATTGCTTTACATTTTTATAATTTATTCTTAGTTGTTATTAATATGCCACTGATCTGTTAGAAACTCATGCCCAAAGTAGAGTGTACTAAAATCCCACAAGTTTCAATTGGATACATATAACAATGGGCTTAGTTTCTCCTTTGAAATGAAATAGGGTTTTGAAGTTCTTTGTTTCAGCTACATTGCACTCCTTATTTTAGATTGACTGATTGCATTTAAAGTTATTACAGAAGGAGAACTGAGTTAGGAAATCTTTGAAATAAACAAGTGAATGTAGTCAAATAATAATGAGATTGAGAGGATATGGAGATTAGGATGTGGAATAATGAATTCAAACTACAGGAAAGGAGATTTCAACTGAACATTAGGAAGAACTTCCTAACTATGAGAGCTGTTCAGTAGTGGAACTCTCTGCCACAGGGTGTGGTGGAGGCTCTTTCTTTGGAGGCTTTTAAGCAGAGGCTGGATGGCCATCTGTCGGGGGTGCTTTGAATGCGCTTTTTCTGCTTCTTGGCAGGGGATTGGACTGGATGTCCCATGAGGTCACTTCCAACTCTATGATTCTATGTAAAATAGCAAAACAAAATAATGACAATGTCACAGTGGAGCATTAAAGTATGTGATATGTTTGTGTGTGTAAATTATTTAAGATTTTGGTTGACTATCATCTCTCTTGCTACATTTTTCCCTGAAAAATGACTGTGGGTGTTTACAACGCAGATGAAAAATGTACATAGCACCTATATAGTCTGCAGTGTGTCTTGCCTGTTCCCTCATTGGGCTCTAAAAGGTAAATGCTATTTTAAGCTCAGTGTTTAATGCCTATTAGACCAGTTGGCTGCTGTCATTTTCTGCCTAGGACCTTTTGATAAGTACATTTTCCTTTTCATTGTATAATATAATTAGCATATATGTGTAAAATAAGTAGTTTTATGAATAATTTTCTACATGCTCTTATGAAGCTGTACCAATAAAACTAAATGGTAGATATATCATGTTCTCAGACACATGTGAGAATAAACCGACCCATTCTTGCTTTTAACAGTTCAACAGATGCTGTAGCATTTGTGCTTTTGTTACCAGTTGAGGGAGAAAAAGCACATTAGAAATTATAAAAATGGAAGAAGGTAACATTCATTCTTGTCATGAATACAGCTCGAAAAGAAAGACAACTTATAGCATTGCTTTGACATGAGCTTCTTGACCAGCAACTTCGTGGTCCTCCTTGGTTTAAAACATTGGCCTACTTTAAGAGGCACAATATGCTTATTTTTGCAATTTGAGACACCCCAGTTTCCATACTGTAGGTTCTACAGTGTAGAATCAGCTGCAGTATCGAACATTTCAGAAGAGAATTCACTAGATAAAGAAAACAATCTTGCAGCTAGAATTATGTGCATCTCATTCTACCAGCTTCAAATTACAACAGGAGCATAACAAGTTCATTAAAGTGATAGAAAACACACTTCATTACTGATGAAAAAGGCTTTGCTTCAGGACCACCATGTCAACTGCTATGTTGAGTTCAAACAGAAAACATGTGAAGAGCACTATTGTCATCTAAGCGATAAGTCCTAATGCCACTGTAGTTACTGTAGCAGCATCAATCAAGGCATCATGGTGACCCCGAGCACTAATCCTTCCCAATTCCTTCAGGTCTGCTGGCAGCCATGTCTCTGGAAGCTGTCTTCAGCAAGGCAGAAGCAGGTAAGAGAAATACATTAAAAGTCTATGTCCCATCCTGAGTTGTCATCAGGCGGTGGTTCATCGTTGTCCTCAGGGAAGCTATCAAAATTGCTTGTATCTGTTGGTGATGCAACCTGTCCAGTGAAGAAAATCAAACCATTGGTTTCTTGAATTGATGTCATGTCTCTGGAAACAACTGTACACACTCATGTATAAGTCAGACTCACATATAATGTTTGGTGACCAAAATTCCAGATTTTGAGATGACCCATGAATAAGTTGAAGGTCATTCTACAAAGAGGGGAAAGCACCCCTCTTTGTTGTCTTAGGGGGGCCAGCTGCCTATGGCCATTTTTCCTCCAAGGTATTGAAAAAAGCCAGAATTGGTGCTACATCGAAGAGGATAATAGTGTGCCTTTTAGGTTCTTCTGGGACAGGCTAAGCTCTTTCATTTGACACTATATTCCAAGAAGGGAATGCTTCCTTTATTGGTGAGAATTAAGGTATAGTCCAGGGCCGTAGCCAGGGGAGGGGGGTTAAAAGTTTAACCCTGCCCAGAAATGTGTAAGGTTAAAAAAGAAACCTGGTTTACTCATAATTTGGTTAACCAGTTAAAATTCTTGAGTAAATCATATTTCCGGGGGAGGGGGGGGAGGGGGTAGAACCCTTAACCCCCCCCCCCCCTTTCTGGCTACGGTCCGCATGTGGGTAAATGGATCCAGTTTTTTTGGATTCATTCTTTGACTATGATTTCTCAACTTATTCATGACTATATAGAGTAGCTTTTAAATTCCAAATCTATGATTGTATGTTGCCATATACGCATAGGTCCCTGCAAATTAATGCTGGTTAGTGAGAGGTACAGACACAACTTTTGAAAAGAAGAAACATTACAACAATCAAAAAAACATTTTTATTTATGGTACCACTGTGATCTATTTATTAGACTTGTGCATGGATCCGTTTTTAGCCAATCCCTTTGGCTACTCGGCTTATCGAAATGGCAGGGGCCCAGCCATCATGGATTCCCACTCAAAAAGGGACCACATGGCAGCCTATTTATCATCACAATTGAATCTTTTTGATTTTCCTTTATTTTCCTGATTCTTTTTATTTAGTGGGACTGACTGGGAGTTTGGGACCTGAGGGATGGTGGGTGGGGTGTGCGCACGCGCCTTTATGAACTTGGAGATGGAGAGTCACCCTTTTAGCGTCTTTTTCTCCTTCCATTTTTCTCCTTCAGAAAATACTTCTAAAGGATTATCATTATCGTTAATAACAGTAATCCCAGTAAACAAAAAGAGAAGCCTACCTCTCCTCTAGAGTAGAACAGCTTTAAGGAAGCAACAACCCAAGCAGAAAGGAGATTGCAGACAGTAGAGAAAACAGAGGGGATTTTTAAGGTAGCCCAGGGAGGATAGCTCTACGGAGCTCCAGGTCATTGCTTTTCCTTCCCTGGGTCTCCTTAAAATGCCTTAGCTGCCTGGCATGCTGGTGCTGGGAGAGAAAGCACATCCATCTGCCTCTCTTCTAGAGAAGAAACAGCTTTAAGAAGCATTAAACCCAGTCTCTTCTACAAACAGAAGGTAAAGGATCCATAAAGACTGGTAGCTTAACTCTGATGTTTTTAAAATCCAGGTCTTAATGAAGGATATGGAAAGGGAGCCTGTGGGAAGTCTCTCTCTCTCTCTCTCTCCCCCCCCCCCCCCCCAGGAGATGCTGGAAAATGGATATGGAAGGCTTCCGGTATCCAGCAAGCAGAAACTGATAGCGAATCACCCCAAATGCCCTATTGATATGATTTCTTTTAACCACTTGCCCTTGCCCCCTACCCTCCAATTTCTATGAACAAATATGTCATGGATTTATCTTACAGTATTTCATAGTTATACTTTAGTACTGGGTTTGACAGAATAGAACAGAAAACATTTTCATGTGTGAGTGTGAAAAGACAACAAAATATCAGGAGGATGTGAGAGAGATAAGTGGGGGAAAAAAAAACTTTAATCAGACACTGAACAAAATGCTGTGCTTACTGAACTTCATAAAAATGGTAGTTCCACTGCATAAATAAAGACCCATTCAATATAGCATTACATTTTCAAAACCCAGGAAAAGAACTAAAAAGCTAGTGATTTTGGATCATTATAACAGGGTAAGGAATGTGTGGCCATTAGGGATGATGCTGAATTTTGGTTTGCATAAACTGCAGAAAAAATGGCTAATGGTGATAGATGCTGGAAGCTGCAATCTGACAATATCTGGAAGACCACCCATTCAATGGGCATCTATCCCTGGATTTCACTTACTGAAGTAGAGAGAGTGACACTAAATATTAGAGAGGTTGAAGCCAGTGATACAAAACATTACATGAATTAAGTATAAGTGATTTGGATTATAGCTTTATGAATCTGTTAACACAAAATTCCACCCACATGGTAGTGAAATATTTCTGTAATGTGCAGATGTGTTGCCATTTTTAAATATGCTTTATTTAAAAAACAAAAGCGAAAAAGAGAGCTGCTGTTTTGGTTTGGTAATTAGCATCTCCAATAATTGTCTCCATTTCTTGTTCCAATTACCATATTTATGTCATATAAACAATAACAGAGTAAAATATATACTTACACTTGGTACTATAGGAGGTGTCAGTGTACCTTTTCTTAAACCTTCCCAATTAAAGCCTTCAAACCACCTAAAGACAGAACAAGACAAAGGGATAAATGGCTCAGGTGCCACTTCACTCGGATCAAACAGAAGGATCAAACAACCGAAATAACAAAATTCTGAACAAGCTGATATACACCCACTTTGTCAGTTTTCATTTTGTCAGGGTTTTTTTTTTTTGTCAGTACATGATCTCCTGTTTTCAATTCAGCTATAGGAAAGTATTTTCTCTCTCCCTCCCTTTAACAAAGGTGATGTAATAAAAAATACTGTTTCTCTACTGGTATTGGAGCCCCTGGTTAAACCCTTCTGCCAGCAGGACTGCAGACCGAAAGGTCAGTTGTTCAAATCTAGGTGGTGGGGTGAGCTCCCATCTGTCAGCTCTAGCTTCTTATGTGCGGACATGAAAGAAACCTTCCCACAGGATAGTAAAACATCCTGGTGTCCCCTGGGCAACAGCTTGCAAACGGCCAATTCTCTCACACCAGAAGTGACTTGAAGTTTCTCAAGTTGCTCTTGACACAAAAAAAAATCTACTGCTATTTTCTGCTTAGCAATTTCCTGTATATACTCATATATAAGTCTAGAATTATTTGGTTCAAAAATTGAATCAAAAAATCAGGGTCAAATTTTCCACAATTCAAAGTAAGTAGTATTGGTTAACTCTTCTCTTAAAAAGGAACTATTTCTTTCTTAGAGTGGATAAAGATTAAAGTCTGGTCCATTCTGACATAACCTAAAAGAAGCACTGACTGTCTTCTACTCTTTCCATGACAGCACCACTTCTGGCCTTTTTGAATACCTGGATGGGAAAATAACGGTGGCAACCTTGTGCAACTGCCCCTCAGGGTGGCACTTGTGATTTATCTTCTTCAAAGAAGTACCTTGACTTATCCATGGATCATGGCACAAACCATAATTTGGGCTCCCATACTTGCCCTCAACTTATACACAAGGACGACAGATACATGAGTATATAAGGTAAGTTATGTCAATATGGTAGGTGCTGTATAGGGCTAATTTTATAGAAAAGATGCAAATAAAGCTTGCAAGGAAGATATAAAAATGACTTAGAGAAAGGTAGGAGTTGCTAGGATGTGATAAAACAAATGAAACTATTGAGAAAACTTAATTACACTCTAAGGAGTAAAAAAAGAAACCCAGTTTACTGAGATCTCTCTCTCTCTCTCTCTCTCTCTCTCTATATATATATATATATATATATATATATATATTTGGACTACATGAGAGAACAGCATAAAAGAGTAAAAGCGAATTGCTTCCCTAGGAACCCCATATTTTAAAATTATTGGGTTTTTTTCTCATTACAGGATGTTATGACTACGAATTAGCATATACCCCAGTGTGTATTTTTTAGATCCAATGGTTTGCACATATCCCCAAGGATTGCACACAAAAACTCACACGTTTTTTTTTTCAAATTGGCAGTCTAACTCTCCCAACATAAAAACTGAGGCAGAGAAAGTAATGTGTCCACTCTCATCATCACAGAAAATGCTGTGGACACTATTCATGAATGTAAGTCACACAGAACTGTTGTCTATGTAGAAGGTCAATTCCATACCATAATTATTATTTTTGACTTTTCATTAGTCTTGAAGAATATATTGGCTGGCAGTATTTTAATTTTTTTGTCATTTATCCATGTGTCTACCTCTGCTTTTTGTGTATATGTTTTTAAAAACTCTATAGCACTGAGTTCAGTTTTCAAGGACAAGCTGACTTACATAGATAGTGGGTTCAGGCTGTTTTTATCAAAATTGGCTTTGACCCTCAGGTCTACCCATATTTGTCATGTCTTTTTACTGTATGCTTTTTAGTAAATGAAAAGAAGCCAGAATGATAAATGTATGCTGAAATTCAAGCTTAATGTGTAGTGAGATAATGGACCATCACAACAGCACTATAACATACATGAACCACAGGAGAGCAAAAAGAATGGGCTAAAAATAACATGTTAGATAATCATGTTCAATAATTCCTGAATAGGACTGCAACATCAGATGAATGTACGAGTTATAACACTAAGTTGAAATCCACTGATGTCTAATAAGTCCCATCAAAGCAAACAGAACTTTAGAAGGAAAAAACAGTTTATTTTTTTGGGCCAGAGTGAAGAGAGAGGGGGCCAGAAGACAGTTCCACCACGTCTCCTGTGCTATGCTAATAATATAATATAATATAATATAATATAATATAATATAATATAATAATTGTATATACATATAATATTTATAATATTATAATGAAATACAATATAATAATAATATGATATTATAATTCTATATTTTATATTACATGTAATATTACTAATAATATTACAAATTAATGGTATAGTACAATATAGTAATATATAATACTGATACTGTACTATGCTAATAATATAATATATTGTATGTGTCTGTCTATCTATCTATCTATCTATCTATCTATCTATCTATCTATCTATCTTGTAAGCCGCTCTTAGTCTCCTTCAGGGTGAGAAGGGCGGCATATAAATGTCGAAAAATAAATAAATAAATCTTAATTTCAAAAAGTTGTCTTATAGTTAACATAAAATAATCTTGTTTTAAGTGTATCAGTATTAATTTCATGTATTTTCTTCCTCAGTTGTCCTTGATTCTACTTCCTTCTCTTTCTTGCCTTATTTTTACACTGAGCCAGAGACCTGTTACTGTAAAATTCTACATATGTTAATTACAGTATAAGAGAAAATAACCCGAGACATACTTACTTGTGCTTTTGAATATCCTTGACACCATTTTTCAAGTTACCTAATCTTTCTGATGGGTTGTCCCTGTTTAAAAGGAAAGAAATCAAACAGGTAATCTGAAGGTAACAATTGGAATTATGCCATCACTTATATATATTAGTCTCCATCTCAACCTTTTATATGCTCTCTTTTCAATAAAACAACCCCTTAGAATAGTAAAATACCATGTAATTTATACTGAGATTTTGTAAAATACAGAAGAAGAGGGAGGGATTGCTGGAAGTGTGGATAACAAGGGTCAGATTATCTTCATGTATTTTGGAATGATTGAAAACTGTATCTTGCTGGCATAGTATTTATTGTATATAGGAAAAAAATAGCAGGATTCAAAATGTTGCTTGATTCTTTGAGTGTATTCTTGAATTACTTTAAAGAATAAAGCTATATAGGAAATTTAGATATAAAAATGGTAGTCAGTTTATCTATCATTTCAATTACAATAGCTTTCTATTTCAAGAAAAATATTATCACTTTATTTACTGTATTTATACTCCACTCTTCTCACCTCGAAGGGGACTCAGAGCAGGACTTGGTTTTTTTGTGAATCTGGGAGATAACTATATGATAACATTAACTTGTTGCATCCAAAGTGGGGAAAGCTCAATAATTGAAAATGTGTTTATACACATTTGTCAGTTTTCAAGAAAAAGCAAACATGTCATATGCGTTTGTCATTATTCTCTCTTCTCTTTAACAAAGAATAATATTTTGTAAATGTAATTTAATTGGTAAAGGATGTTAAGAATAAACAACCAAATAAATAAGTAACATGTGAAGAGCTAAGAAAATATGGAACATCAATAAGAGAATTAATATTAGGCGGTGGCGTAGCGAGTTAAACCACTAAGCTGCAGAACTTGTGGACCATAAGGTCAGTGGTTCGAATCTGTGGGGCAGGGTGAGCTCCCATTGTTAGCCCCAGCTTCTGCCAACCTAGCAGTTCTAAAACATGCAAATGCGAGTAGATCAATAGATACCGCTTTGGCGGGAAGGTAACAGCACTCCATGTAGTCATGCCGGCCACATGACCTTGGAGCCATCTATGGACAATACTGGCTCTTTGGCTTAGAAATGGAGATGAACACCACCTCCCAGAGTTGGACACAATTAGTTCAAGAGGAAACCTTTACCTTTACTTTACATTTCTTTCTTGACAAATTTATGGAGGGAGTGTTTACCTGCATAGTTTTTTAATTAGATTAGCAGCATTTTTGGCAATCTTCTTTGGAAATTCAATCATGTCAATCCCCCTTAGAATGATGTTATATGTTTTCATGGGATCTGGGCCTGAGAAAGGTGGACTAAAGAAAAAAAGAAGAAAAAGCACAGTGTTAAGATTTACTTAAATGTTATTGCTACCCCTCCTTCACCCAACAAATGTCTATCTATTAAAACCAATAGAAGAATTGTTTCCATTGGAAAACATTGATCCCAAAATACTGAATTCTAGTGGTGTAATATGCCAGCAAAACTTGAGTTGGTGTTGACAGTGGCAGTAGTCGGTGCAATAATAACGAAAAGAGACACTTGAGAAATGGGCCGCTCCATAAAAGTAGAGGATCCTGTTTCTGTGCAAATAATTTACTGTCAGATTTAGAGTCCCCTTGAAATAAGCTGCTATTACTTGATGTTGACAATGGGTAGCACAGCTGTAAAAACTGCAATATGATGTGACTGCTACTCTGAGTTGTGTGGAACAAATGGCGTTCCCTGCCCTAAATTGCCTGATTTGATCCATCCAGGGAAACTTCATTTTTCTTGCATTGGAAACATTAGGGAGACATTGTTTTTTCCTTGTTATTTGAATCATGAAAACTGGTAGTATCCTCATGTGAAATCTTGCCCAAGCGGCTTGTTGAATTGTTGAAGCTAGAATACCTAATACCCTGGCCAGATGCCTGAAATCTACTACCTCTCCTTTCCTCAAACATTATTATTTCTAATTTTATTGCTTGATTTCTTTTGAAAGAAAAACAAAACAATTCTGTATGTTTGTTTCTGCCCCGAGATGCAACATGATTTTTGTTCCTGGGTTATAAATGTCATCTCCTAATTGGTTCTATCATTAAAAAACATGGAAAGATTTATTAAACTGCTAAAACTTTGTTTTTGTGGGACATCCTGCAGCACATCTTACTATAGTTTTTCAATGAATATCTCAGTCTCAACCAATTCAACATAGTTTGTGGCAGCCACAAAAATGACATTTCTAGAGTATAACAGCTACTTTCAGAGTAAATACCCCACAATTAAACAGGAAATAACACTTTCAAACCAGGAACAGACAAATTTTCAAATTTTGTTACATAATGTTATCTTTGCTGGTGTTAATTGACTCATTTTGTAATTTACAAAAAATCCATAAATCCTGAAATACTGCAAACGCAGACTATGATCATCTTATGCTTTTCATCTGCATCCATCTTTCAGTAAGATAACGTTTATCAAACTATAACTATGTCTTACGGTGGACTATGCAGGTAAGGTTATCAGAAATCTACTGAGTACAAATAGTCATTAAAGCCCACATTCTGCAATATGGTTTGCAAAGACTCCGTATGTTGAACCTCAAATATTTCACAAAGGAACTGAGAAACATTTTTCATCTGAAATGGGTCTCTGTCCCCTACTGTGCTTTGGGACAGCAATTCAATGGAGTACATTCCTTTGAATTTCTGATCAGATGGAATTTGTCCTATTGCCTCAATTTTAGCTAAGTGCTGAATCTCTTTCTGAACTATGTTCTGCTTGATACTGCTTTTAGGTACAAGTGATGGTAGATATCTTCCTGATAGACTTTTTAAAGAACATACTTTTGTAAACTTCCTGAAGTATTTGAAAAACCCATTTTTATGTAGTTATTTCTTTCCAAAAATGACTGAAGTGAAGTAAATGTTCCACCTACTGATAAATCTCTCAAGTCAGTATTGCTGACTGCCACTCCTGTTGAATTACTTTCACCTCTCCTTGGCTGTTCTTGCCCCTTTTATCTAAATTGGAATCTACTCCATTGCTGTTTATAGCTTCTGAACTCCTTTTCTTACACAACCTCTGACTGCTTGGTAGGAGTAGTTGTCTTCACTGAAAAATCTTGTCTAACCTTTTTATCCCTCTCCAGGAAGTAACTACTTCTTGTCCTTTCCTTCCATTAACAACTTCTCCAGAACTTTTTTATACAATGCTCCGTAAGCGTTAGAATAAAGTATTGTTAAGAGATTGAGAAAGAGAAATTCTCAACCAGTTGGCAAAGCAGAAGAAGAAAAACTGAGGAGGGCGAGAATGGAGCAATGGGTAAAACTATGTAGGAGTTGATTTCCTGCCTTCATCAGGTGGCATGAGGGTGGTGGTGATGTTTTGAAAAATTTGGGGGGGGGGGTTTAAAACGAGTCCAGTGTCCGGGGGGAAAGCAGGCAAACGAGCAAGGGGCGGGAGAGCGAAAGACGGGCGAATAAACAAGGGGGGTGGGCAAATGGACGGGCAAGCAAGCAGGGGTGGGAATTTTTTTGCGGGAAGGGGGTTTGAAGCCATTACATGCCCCCCCCCCCCGCTATGGGCTTGCATGAGGGATTAACTGAATGGCTGTGAATTGCTCCTATCAACTTTCCTGAGAATGCGGTGTAGGTAAATCCATCTCAGGAATGTGGGGATTACTTTGCTGCAAATGTTAGTAAGTTATATCTTGAAATCCAAATTTATTTTCTCTGATTAATTCCCAAACATTCATTTGAAAGTATGCATGCATGAGATCCCACCATATTTGGCTCTTTCGAAAAATTTGGCAGAATATGAACCTCAGCACAGGGATCCTAAAATTAGCCCTACATGAGAAAAAAATACTACTGAATCTTTCCCTGAACAACTAAAGCACTGTGATACAGAAAAGAGAGGATATGGTGGCTTATGATAGGCCCAACGATTTGAATCCTTGTGTTTCACAGTAATGTTTCTAGTAACACTGTGTAACAAAATTTGAAATAAATTTTAAAATGTTATTTCCTGATTATACTTTGAAAGTATTTGTTATATTTGTTATATTAGAGAAACTTCGTTTTTGTGGCTGCCACAAACTATGTTGAATTGGTTGAGACTCTATGAGATATTCATTGAAAAACTGGAGCAAAATGTGCTGCACTTTTCCCATGTTTTTATGATAGAACTAATTGGGAATTGGCATTGATAACCGAGGAACAAAAATTGTGTTACATAGTGTAATTGTTAAATTTAAAGCACCAATATTCAGCTGTTCGTAACTAGAGATTTTAGGAACAACTACTGTGGACTGAGAACAGTTAATGCTTAAAGATAACTAAATACCCCCGTCATGTTAATTCTGCACACTGGACCATGTTGCCCTCTGCCCTTCTTGCCCTATGAAGGGTGTGGACAATACAGAGGCCATAAGATCTTGTTCCAGCTTGGGCAAGTACCTGAAAGCTACACTTTTTAGCTAAAATATATAAAAGTAGGTAAACATGTGAAAAATGAATTTACACATGTGCAAAATGGCAAACCACCTGTAAGTATTTCTTGCCTAAGAAAACCCATGGTGTCTCTGTGAAGTGACAGATGGGTTGAAGAGATACACAAAATGAATTATAATCTATAATTTCCTCATACCAAAATATTGACGGTTTATGCCATGCCACGCCAGCATTTAAATTCATCTTATATGAGTAAAACATGAGCACAAAACTTTCAATAGCATTTTATCTTTTTAGTCAGTGTTGTATTGTTTTAATATTGTAATCAGCTTAATTCTATTTTAATATTTACTTTTTGCATGCTTGCAATTTAATTGTGATTTGTTTGGGGTTTTAATCTTGAGTGATAAGCGAGACGGTGATATAATAACAATAGTGTAAAGGGAATCATTTCCATTTGCTCAGGTCATTTTGTGTTAGGACTGTGTTTTGTCCTGTGTAACACTGCTTTTGTTCTTAAAAATATATGTCATACTATCATATTGTGCTTAATTATACTATGTTCTTGTGCCCCATTGAAAAGAAACCCAAATAATTTAATATTTTTTAATAAATAACCTTTTTCTTTGCTGCAAGAAGTTTTCAAAAGCTGCATAGATTTCAAAGGCAATTTATAATTTGGAATGCCTTACTGATGCATAAAATACCATGTCCTGAGTGTGTATGTTGTTTTTGGTACAAAAAAATCCCAAAACATTTTCTGTATGGAAAATCTACTTTCTGCACAGAAAATCATGTTCAAAAAATTACAAAAAGGTTGCATGTTATTTTCTGCACAACAAAAATATATAGATCCCCTCACACAAAGTCCTAAACTGTGAGTATTTTCATTGTGCAGGTTGCTCTTTCATGATTCTTCCCCACACTTGAAGAGTCGAAGAGCAATTGAATATAAAGCCTCAAAATATAAGAAGTAAACACTGGCTACACTTACTAAATGTAATAGTTCTATGTGCCAATGGAAATGCATTGCTTTTTAGGTTTGTAGAAGTGTAGAATCTAAATCTGCATATGGCACTCAATGTAAAAAAACAGACTACTAGAAACTGAAAGCAAAATAATTTAAATTTGTAGCTCTGTACATTGTTGGCTGGGCCTTTCTTCTTAGGCTTGATGTTCCAAGCCTTCTATTCTTTAGACTGCTGACTGTGAACCAATGACAACTAAGAATGAGCAGTCTCAACAGTAGATTTTCTGACTTTTTTGTGTGTGTGATCATCATAACATATGCCAGCTCTAAATTCCTCTGCTGCTAATCAAAGTGACAAAGGCAGAAATATTCTCTAATTTGCGGATCTATTTTTATCACTAGCTCCAATTCGATGCCCATACCTGCCAGTCAAGAGCTCATACATTAAGATTCCCAGTGACCAGTAGTCTGCTGAAATGTCGTGACCTTTGTTCAGGATGATCTCTGGGGCGACGTACTCTGGAGTTCCACAAAATGTCCATGTTTTCTTTCCAAATCCTATTTTTTTTGCAAAGCCAAAATCAACCTGTTGAAAGAAGGTTCACACACCCATCAAGAAAGAGAAAATAAAGAGCAACTAAGCTGGAGCAATGCTTGAGGAGGAGATGGCGGTGATGTTTTTCTTAGAATAAACCACTTCAGAAGGACAGGTTTCATGGGAAAAGTCTTCTAAGTTGGAAGGCCACATTGGGTTGCCTCAGGAAAATAATATTAATTGTCATATTGAGGGCAATCAAAAAAGCAAAAGTATAACCACAAAGAAAGAATCATTTCTGATTTCCAACCACTCAAAAAAGTTCAAATGAGAAACCAATGATCTAACACATCTAATCATATAAATGGTCAATTTTTTGGGTGTGGGCAGAAAAAGGCTATCCAGCTACCCACCCATTTTTAGGAGGCACGCAAAAACAGATCGAGATTCAGCAGAGACGGATCGAGGAAATGCACAAGCCTAATTTAAATACCATGCCATAGATATATTATTTATAATTGGAAAAGAACTTTTCTACACACTTTTCAAATTTTCTGAAAAAAATGGCTTTAGGGGAAAAATGAAAAAAATATTTTTTTCCGCATTTTTTCTGTTTTTTCCTCCCAGGTCTTCCCATCTCTAATAAGTAATGCAGGGCAGTTGTAGGAAATGTCACCTAGCAAACTGCAGTTTGTTTCTTTCCCTCTTCCCATAATTTCCAGTCCATAAAGCTCAATAAATGGTAAGGAATTATGATTTATAAGTAAAGTGGAATGCAGTCCACTGAAGCCTACATGTTATCTATTCCTGATTTAGGATGTTTCTAATACCAATCGCAAAGAGTTTTACAAAAAGAATTAAAACACTGCCATTTCTTATTTTCCCCACATTCCTCATGTTTTTCTCAATGGTCAGAATGTGGAAACACTTTTAAAGCTATTTATGATCTGGAATTCTAGAGAACTGAGATTTCAGTGAGCTTCTTGATCCCATCCTTATCTATATAGGAGGATTGGCAACATGCGGGAAATCTCTGGAATGTTCTCTTTGGATGCTAGTCCCATCCTTAAGCTTTGCTCAAGACGTAATGCTGAAATACAGTTTTTGTAATCTCATTTATTTGCATCTACACCTAGACCCAAGCTTTCTGAAGGCTGGTATACTGTGTTTTTCTGCCTTCATGCCCAGAGAAAAGGGAAGGGTGAGCTGTTCACAGAGAAGAGAGCAGTTATGGTACCCAATTATTTTTAATCAGCAATAATACCACAGAAATAATGCAATGTTTGAAGAAATAAGAACAGCATGGTTTGTAGGGAGCACAATACTCATACCTTTGTTCTTCTTTAAAAATAAATAATTGAAGAAGGTATTAAACTCTTTAATAAGCATCTGAATTATCCAATAAAACTCACAAAACTATTGATGATAAGGTCACAAAGGGTATTTCAAATGAACGGTGAACTTTAACATTAATCTAGACTGTGAACTTCAACAGCTCTTCTCAAACTCACAGTAAGATTAATTTGTTTCTATTAGTTCTCTTTATAAACTGATTAGTCTTGGAACTATAGAGCTGCCATTCAGCCAGAAGCACTATTTTATGACCCTTATAAATCTGTTAAAGAAAGCATTTTATTATAATGGAAGAGGCAACAAAGCCTTAACTACAATGCAGTAAGCATGACAATGGGAGAATTTATGGCTTTGGGGAAGATAAAACATCCAGAGAACTCACCAGTTTGGCATAACCTCGGTGATCTAGGATGAGGTTTTCTGGCTTGAGGTCCCTATAAATGATTCCTTTGGAATGCAAATAGGCAAAAGCTTCTACCACACATGCTGTATAAAATCTGGTTGTAGAATCTTCAAAAGAACCTCTGCAAAGGAAGAGCAAGAAAGGAGGAATACTTTGCTTGTCCTTTTCATCCAAACATTTGCTTTAACACTTTAGATTTCAAATGTAATGTTTCAATAATGTCATAATTCTATATAGTGAGCGGAATTCCAACTTAGCCATGTTTCATATAGACACACTGAATTTAAGGTTCCACTCCTTTGGCATGATTTCTGCTGCTTGGGTTAACCATCTTTCACCATCAGATTGTATAATAAAATAGTACAACTACTGATGTACTTATACTGTTCCTGCAGTAGGTAGGAAAGAGATGGAAAAGTCTGTGAGGGTCCCTGAGGATCCAGAAGAAGGACAGAACCCCATGATAGAAGCTTGAATCCAATTTCACTTGTAACTTGGGCTATGTCTACATTTACCAGATTAATCCCGGAGCTGTTCTGATATAGCCAAGAAACATCCATGGAGCGCTTTGGCCACATGGCTGGTGGAAGCAAGAATACATTGAGGCCACCACGGCTGCTTCATTGCTGGCTAGCAGATCTCTGACAGAAACATGATGGTAGCATCATATTTCTGGCCACGTGGTTGTGCACCTTGGTGGGACACCACCATAAATGTGTCATCAAAAGCAAGCCTCTGCCATCAAGCTGCTTTCTGCCAGTGACACGATGGTTGGGCTGTTGGTTGTGGGAACAGCGGATCAGGAAGCATCCAGGTGGATCTAATTGTTCACATTTCCAAAATTCCAGGATAATCCAAGAGCAGGCCTGGCCAACCTGTGGAACTCCGGGTGTTTGGACCTCCAACTCCCAGAAATCCTAGCTAGTTTACTAGCTGTTAGTAATTGTGGAAGCTGAAGTTCAAAACTTCCAAGTAATTGTGGAAGCTGAGTACCACAGCTTCTTTGAACCTCATGAAATGCTGAATGCAGTACTTCTGCTGTGGATCCAACCATGACCTTTTGGCAGCATGTGCCAGTTCACCTATACTTTTATGATGGAGCCCGACAGCTCCCACCCCACAACGTAGAGCAACTTCTGGCGGGGCTCCATCATAAAAGTATACGCGAACTGCTGCATACTGCCATAGTGGCAACACAAGAAACTTCCCGTGTTGAATAGAAGTCAACTGGGGGCCGGTAGTAACTGGGTGACTGACGCTCCCCCTGTGGGATGGAGACTTGGGTGAGTTGGGTGATGCAGGGCATGGGGTGATGAGTTTTAAAGACAATTTGTTTTGTTGAGTCCATTTACTGATAAATCTAGATTCTAGGAGGAAGTGCAATAGCCAATCACTAATTCTCTCTTTCGTTTTGACCCTGCTGACATTAGGGTCAACCTCAAGTCTTGCAATTGACTTAGCACTTTCAGTCCTAATTAACAGGTCTGCAAAAAAAGGAAGGTTTAAAATCAGAATGGCAGTGGCAATGTTACATCTGATAAAACGAAGAACAGGACAAGCCTGATATGGAACATATAAGCCAGACATGTTCCACCTTGATGAAGGCAGACATCATATTAGTTCTGATCTATGGGGAAAGGAAACCTATGTACCCTAAAGGGACTAGATTCCACCTGATTTGCAAGCCAAGTGGGGTACATCCTGGTTAGTATTTGGATGGGAGACCACCAACAATCACCAGGTGCTGCCAGCTATGTGTCAAAGGAAGGAATTGGCAAAAGCACCTTGTGTATTCCTTACTTAAGGAAACTGAAATTCATGAGGTTGCCATATGTCAAGAGGTGACATGAAGGCATGCACACGCGCACACACACACACACACTATGGGAAAAGAAGAGCTTGTTTTCACACAGTGTAAAATTATCACACAGGAGCTTATGTTGCACTGTTCTCCATTGGCAACATGAACTCTGACAAACTGACAATTACATTTCAACTTCCAGCATACTGTGTGTGTGAAACCACCCAAAGGGCTCGCAGTGTCAGGAAAAACATTTTTCATGTATTTAATGACCTGCCTGTATCAGCCCACAGCCTGCCGGGGATACCGTACTGTGAAACAGCTGTAGGGTTATGATGGAATCATATTTCTCTGCTTGTTTACTTAGCTGTTGAAAGCTTACAGCTTTTGAAAGGCCACAAATAACTTCCTTACATTTGTTGCACTTATATTGCTAGTCCCAATGGGAACAAAAAGGGATACCATAGCCTTATTATGGTAACGTAAGACCTAAAATCATTGGTATCTCTTAACAGTGAGCTGGTCAACTAACATGTACAGTTGCAAAACAGGACAAACTATGTTACAATCAGGAAGAATTCCTTGTATGTATATATGTACCTCCAATTTGCCTGTCGAATTATGGCAACCACATGCTTTTCATAGGGATTTTTCAGGCAAAGAATGCTCAGGGCCTTCCACACCGCCGTATAACCCAGAATATCAAGGCAGACAGAATAACCCACAATATTTGAACTGGGTTTTCTGAGTCCACACTGCCATATATCCCAATTCAAAGCAGATAATGTGGAATTTTATTCAGCTGCGTGGAAGGGGCCAAATTATTTTTTTGCCAAGTTAAAGAATGTTATAACAAACGATATAAAAATAACATTATGTAACATGTTTTTTGTTCCTGGGTTATAAATGTCTTTTCCTAATTGATTCTATCACAAAAACATGGAAAAAGTTTATTAAACTGCAAAAACTTTGTTTTTGTAGGACATCCTGCAGCACATTTTGCTGTAGTTTTTCAAGAAATATCTCACAGAGTCTCAACCAATTCAACAGTTTGTGGCAGCCACAAAAATTAAGTTTCTGGAGTATAATAACTACTTTCAAAGTAAGTACCACACAATTAAAAAGGAAACAACACTTTCAAACCAGGAACAGAAAATGTATCACATTTTGTTTTAGTGTAATCAGACCACACTCCTTTCCTGATATGTTCTAAATTTGTTTCTGAGTGTACAATTTAAATGCTGAGTAAAAAATAAATAAATAGAATCCTTAGGAGAAGATATGATTTAAAGCATATATTACAATAAGTTTCCCTCGATATATATGGATATCTTTATGACTTCTGGCCACCCGAAGGAGACCTTATCATGTTCAGAGAAGATTTGGCATTTCTCAGCAGCAGGGTCAGATTTGTCCAGTTAGAGATTTGAACCCAGATTTCACAAAGTTGAACGTCCGTAACACTGCAGTAATTCTTCCAATATATACGGTATACAGTGTCCCAATATATATGAATTAAAATATTTCATTTCCAATTATATTTCACTATCAAACGTAGCATCAAACAGTTTTATTTCTATTTCCATTTGAGAACTGGAAATTATTTCATAAGACAGTTACAATTTTCACATGTTCTTCAACAAATGCTATTTGGCTACCACAATTATTTCATTGAATAGATTACCCAACGAAAAGAAAAGATTACTCCTTTTCAAAGCTAGATGGCAGCAGATACCATGATTATGGGAAAATTATAATTAAAAGAGAACTTCAGGGCATCTGCAAAACAATGTTCCTTCTTAAAACTTGTGGCTCAAATGTCTATTCCCAATCCCAAGTAGAGGAGGGCCATTGAATCAATAGGATTTTACCCATGACTCAACAGATGATTCAATAAATTCTATAGCTTAGCAGCTAAACTGCTACGCCACCACAGCCCCTTAGAATAGAGTGCCCTATTCGATGTTTTTCTATTACTTTGTGGGGCTAATTAGAGAGAGAAAAAACCCTTAGGGTTTCAAAATAAATCACACTAAACTTGAAAAAATATTGTCAAATTGCCCCAAAATGGACTTGAAGGTAACTAGACTCATCATCTGGATAAAGTAACTTTGCTTTTACTTGCTTGCTTGATTTTTCGAATTAGCTTTGTCACCTCCAGGCAACTTGCTACAGCTAATTCTAGTTCGTGACTTGTGGATTCTAAACTCTGATCCCACTGATCATTCCTAATATAACAGACCGACTGAATCAATGAGGATTGATATAAGTGCTAACTCGCCTTTCAACAACATATTGAGTTTGTCCTTTCTCACTGGAATATAAATAGGATTCAAGTCTTTACTCACTCCTCTCTTTGATTTTTTCTTGTAATTTAAGCTCCTGTATACATTTAGATACAATACATTGTAATTTTGGTGCCAATTATTTGGTTTTCCTTCATTCTGTAATTTTTGTACAGTTTGAACTGGGGAGAGTCTCATCTGTCCCGGATTTTTTCTATCAGGAGTTTTCGAAATTCAAGAAACATGTTTTTGACTTTTCAAATATTTTCAAATATTCCTACCATTCCTATGTGATATATGCACACCTTTGGATACAGCCCATGGAACTTTTGATCCTGGATATAATCTGGAGAATAAATGTTCACTTAAGCTTGGAAATCAGTTTGGTTGCTTCTTCCAACAATGATGTCTGGTATAGTGATTTTTGTCCTTAATGTGGTCAGAATAATTGTTGATGGCTAACAATGAGTAGCTTTAAAATGTCATGATATAGCATCGTATTTAACTTATAACAGATGTTTAAAAGGCTTATCCTAATCCCTTGGTATAGAAAACAGTTGATCTCATAGTTTTTCCAGACAAACATCTTTGTAGTGAGTGACTCAGTTTCTGGTTTGGCACCTTACGAGACAACTGAACCAGGCAAATTTCCTTACCTGTCCCTGAGAATTGTCCAAAGCTCTCCACCTAAACAAGCCTCCATCAACATATATAAATATTTGCTATCCTTGAATGTTCTGTATAGCCTAGAATGGAAGGGAAAAACAGCCATTTCAGTGCTATGAGTATCTCCTAAAATTTGACTTACAAAATTGTACATGCATAATACAAAGTGATGATATATAATACAAATGTTATATCATGTGTATGAGAGAAGTGCTGTCTTGAGATGCCAGTCTTCAGAGAGTTCTGCATTTATGAGACACCAAATTTCTACTTTATTCACACAGTTTGCATTTATGAAGAACTGATTTTGAATAAGCATGTCCCTGAATCACATTTATTTGGGGGAGGGGGGATTTTCATGTTACACAATTATAGCTGTATACTGCTATGATTCCATCTTATAGAGTCCTGGGATTTGCTGTTTAGGAAGGATATTTAGAACCCACAGGGATATTTAGAATTATGTAGACCCCCACCAAACTATGAACCCCAGGATTCCAGAGGAAATTGCCATGGAAGTTAAAGTGGCCACATATTGCTACAATTGTGTAATGGGAATGTGCTCCTGAGATATTTCACTGAATCAGTAGTATTTATTCTGTGGCTGTATCCACACTGCAGAATTATAGCAGTTTGACTCACATTAACCATTATGGCTCAATGCTGTAAAATTCTGAGATTTACCCTTCTCCTTAAGCAAGGTCTGGTGCCACAACAAACAAATTGTCGGTAAACTAAAATATATTCCATTAGAGCGAGCACAAATTTATTGGGGTCAGGAAAAATCCTATGTTACAAGTGTGTTTTATTTTAACTGATTTTATTCTATATACACAAATGCTCCATTTGACACGAGGAAGCTGTAATACCACATCATGGGAGTCTTATAGAGGTCATGGCTTAAACAATGTAAGTTGTCATGCTGTTCATATTTATCATAATACACAGGGTTTATCGTTTCATAAAGTTCTGCTACCTAAGGCATAGGTTTAAAATGTCTTCATAAAAGCTACACTAATAAAAATGTTATTGCAAGTAGTTGTTCACTGGGTGCAGGGATTTTATAAAGCAAAATCCAATCAGTTTTACACACACTCCAAAGTCTTCATGTTTGCTAGATTTTGCTGTTGTTTTGTAAAACTTCTCTCTCTTGAATATACTGTACAGCAGGTCATAAAATCATCAAATGAATATATTGGGAAGTTTTCACACTTTGTGAGTACACACACCTTCTCCTTATTTCATTATGTGGAGTCAAGTAATACTACTACTACTACTAATAATAATAATAATAATAATAATAATCTTTATATCTCGCCACCATCTCCCCCAATGGGGACTTGGGGCGGCTTACATGAGGCCAAGCCCAAACAGCAAATTACAATGAGATAAAACCAAAGACACAAATGACAACACAATGAAATACATAAAACATGTGAATACAATAAGCAATATAAAAACACAATAGCCACAATCACAATGACAATGAGCACGCCGCATGTGCAAGATAAAATGCTAATAATAATAACAAAAACAATAATAATAAACTTTATTTATAACCCACCACCATCTCCCCAAAGGGTGAGATAAAAAGGAGCAGATTATTTGTGAGGGGGAGCTCATAAAGAAACAGCGTTGCAAAAAACAGGCCTTCATACAAGCGGGGGAAGTGTACTCCAGGAACAAAAAAGTTGAGGGGAGCAATAGTGTATGGTTGTGTGGCTACTCTCCGAAGACACAACGGAAAAGTTTTAAGATCCTTCTTGAAAGTTATTAAGTTGGGGGCTTTCCTAATCTCTCCAGGCAATGAGTTCCAGAGTCGGAGGGCTACAGAGGAGAAGGCTCTCTCCCTTGTACCCACAAGACGGGCCTGTGATACTGGCAGGGGCGAAAGGAGGGCCTCTCCCAAAGATCGAAGAGCTCGGGCTGGTTCAAGGAGAGAGATACATTCACGAAGGTAGGCAGGTCCCAAACCATTTAGGGCTTTGTAGGTGATAACCTGCACCTTGAATTGGGACTGGAATTTGTTTTTGATTAGCAGAGGTAGTAATATCACTTTCCCCCCATTCAGGCTTCTCTTGAGTTTTAGGAACAGAAGGTATGGATTTCTGCAATATTTGTGTTGTTCGCTATACCTCTTATAATGCAACTGTTTGGGAATGGTCTTTCAGGAGCTGCTAGATTTACAAAATCATGTTATGCTCTTGGGGAAAATAGAAATGACATACCCAGTTTGTTCATATGGTTCAACATAGCTGTGAGTATGTTTGGGGATACAGCTATGAGTACAGTCACGATGAGACTTTGTGCTTCAGAATTTTATCATTGTGCTACTGTGTATATGTTTTTTTTTTTTACTAAGATTGGTCAACAGTGTGAGAGAAGGAAGAAAGGGATCCATGTTCCCCCAGAGTGGTTATACCTGAATTTTCTCCTTGCTCTAGGGCCTCTTTGACTGCATTTGAGGTTAATTTACATCAGTAAATTGATAATCCAGTACTGTATTTCATTATACCTCTACAGAATTTGCATCCATTGATGCTTGAGAAGTTTAAAAGAATGTTTAGCATAGATCATGAATAATTTATGTGCCAATGTAATATAATAGTACAAGGGCTAAGAAGCAGGCGTCTGCACACTGGGAAGTTGATTTATCCAGGGAAATGATCATACCTCACAATAAAATCTGAATGAGCTCCTTGCATTATCTGCTTCTCTGAGCGTATGTGCTCTTGCTGCCTTGTGTCCACTATGTGGCGTTTCTTTAGTATCTTCATTGCAAACGTTTTTGCTTCATCGCTCTTCAACTGGACCTTAAGAAAACAAAACATTTGATAAATTTGAAATCAGATTACACAATAATGCTTGTAATTCAGAACTATAAACTACAAAGATGAGTGTTAATATTCTTAATATATTTTAACATCTAGTGTTCATAAATCAAACTGGTAGAAATACAAACTGTAAAAGAGCTAATGATATATGCAAATAGAATTTGTGAATTCGTACTTATGAACGGTAACAACCACTACCCTCTTTAAATGACAGACCATTTTTTCCTTTCGGCCCTTCCAGGAGTGATGCTTACTTTGTCTTCTGCCTCCTCAAATGCTCTACTTTTCATATGTATCTTTTGCAATGGATTAGTCTCAGCCCCCTGATTACTTCTTTTGATTATCTTTAATTCAGACATTCTTCTACCAGTTCTATTTTTTACACTGCTGTTAAATCAAGCATTTAAAAAGCCTATCATTTCAAGGGAGGAATCAATCATCATCATCATCATCATCATCATCATCATCATCATCATCATATCTCTCTCTCTCTCTCTCTCTCTCTATATATATATATATATATAAAAATGTAATGTTTGTTTGTGGGATTAACATAACTCAAAAACCACTGGACGAAATTGACACCAAATTTGGACGCAAGACACCTAACAACCCAATGTATGTCCATCACTCAAAAAAAGTTGATTTTGTCGTTATGGAGTTGTAGTTGCTGGGATTTATAGTTCACCTACAATCAAAGAGCATTCAGAACTCCATCAATGATGGAATTGAACCAAATGTGGCACACAGGACTCCCATGACCCAACAGAAAACACTAGAAGGGGTTGGTGGGCATTGACCTTTAGTTTGGGAGTTGTAGTTCCCCTACATCCAAAGAGCATTGTGGACTCAAACAATGAGGGATCTGGACCAAACTTGACACAAAAATTCCATATGCCTAAATATGAACACAGATGGAGTGGGAAATAGAATCTTGACATTTGGGAGTTGTAGTTGCTGGGATTTGTAGTTCACCTACAGTCAAAGAGCATTCTGAACCCCACCAATGATAGAATTGGGGCAAACTTCCCACACAGAACCCCCATGACCAACAGAAAATACTTAAGGCCATCCAGTCCAACTCCCTTCACCAGGGCAAGAAAACGTAATCAAAGCCCTCCTGACAAAGAGCCATCCAGCCATAGATATAGATAGATATGATTCAACACACACATATAGTATCATAGATTTGAAAGGGACCCTAAGAAGGACAATATGTTGCATGTTCCAGAGTAGGCAACCAGACAATTCCACATCAACACTGACAAAGAAACAGCAAGACATAGCGGTGTCAGCCCACAAGCATAAAAGATTCCATTTGAGTAGGAAAACCATCACTTTCTCATTACTTTATTTTCCAGATCACCAGACTGGGCCACAACAATGCGTGGCAGGGGACAGCTAGTATATATATATATATAAATGTAATGTTAGTTTGTGGGATTAACATAACACAAAAACCACTGGACGAATTGACAAAAAATTGGACACTACACCCCTAACAGACCAAAGAGTGACTATCACTCATAAACCCCTCCCGAAAATAGTAGAAAGGACTTAAAAACCAAAAAAAGCTAAATGGTGATACAGTGCATGTGCAAAAATGACATCTCCCAGCATCCCCTAGACCAGGCCCTTTAGGGGAGGCGGGTGCTCCAAATGCACTGCTTCCAAGCTGCAAGCTTGCTTCTTCTTGGATTTCTTTGAGAGCATTCCAATCCCTGCAAATTTCCAATTTCCTGTTATGCAACTCCCAGCAATCCTCCAGATAGATAAGATATATAGATTAGATAGAGAGAGATAGTAGTAGATAGATCAATTAATCAGGAGGACTGCTGGGAGTTGCAGTCCAAGAATAGGTAGAGAAGGAAGAAAGGAGAGAAAGAAAAGGGGAGAGGAAGGAATAAAAGAGGTAGAGAAGGAAGGAAGGAAGGAAAAGAAGGAAAGAAGGGAGGAGAGGAAAAGAAAGAGGGAAGGAAGGAAGGAAAAAAAGAAGGAGAGAAAGAGGGAGGGAAGGTTGGCCACAGCAACACATGGCGGGTACAGCTAGTAAATACACACACACCATACCACTCTTCTTATATTTTTTATATATTTTATAGAAGTACAGAATTCAGTTATATCACACATTAAGCATGTCTCAAACACTGGCCTTAAGAGTCTATCAGAAAAAGTAAACATTTGGATTTTACTATTGCATCTTTTTCTGAAAAACAAGATCAAAGACAAATCATATAGTGACATGACCTAATACATCAGAGATCAAAGCTATAGTCCTCATTCAAGTTAAGTGAAGTGTAGTTATGATCCACATGCCAGAATGGATGCAAAGATTGCTTCAAACAGGACTCAGTGGTATATATCCAATTGTTAATTCCAACTATTGAATAAATAGGAGCCTGGTAAATCAACCCTTATGTAAATTCCATTAATTCAGTGGGGCATGGTTCGATTTAATCCTGAATAATTCTTTGCTTTCAGTGGAAAGAACCCATTTTCACAATATATTCAGTAGACTCAATATTAGACATTTGAAAAGTGACTCAATTGTTTCGCCTACACTTCCTCACATACATCTGGAGCTTTTTCCTTCCTTCTTTATTTTAGTTTAGATTTTTGAGTCTTCAAAAAAAACCTGAGTGGGTGCTGCATGGAGTAAGTGTGTACTGGGGGAGAGGAGGGGAGATGTATTGATCTTTGATCTAGCATGTGGTAGCCAAGCAATGGTTTGCCTCAATACAAATGCAATGAGATCACTTGTACAACTTCTCAACAATTCAAATAGTGTACATTTGTATGCAGCTCCAGATGAGAAACTGATTTGTTTAACAACAGTGTGTTCTCTGATGGTTTGACATCACCCGTCTGCAGCAGAGCAGGAAAACTCTCTTTGAGTCTCAATTTCCAGCTTGATCATTCATCATAGCTTTCTGCTGGACTCCTTTTTACAAATTCAGTGTTCACTTTCTCCAATAAGAGAAAACCTGAACAATTCAATGGTTTATTTTTAAGATGAGGATGAAGCAAGTCAATTTAAGATTAACTTTCAAGGAAACTGAAGCAAAAAATTAATTTTCATTTGAAGCATTGGTTTGGAGACCAGCTGCACAATAAAGCTTTAGAATTTAGAGTGAAAGAGTGTATTTATTTGATGAGAATGGGCTGGATCATTCTTAGTTCTTATAAATTTAAATTGATAAACTCTATCAACTGATCAGTGGTTTTGTTTAGCTTCAAAAACAATTTCACATTGATAATAGGCCAGTTGAATCTTTATTTTAAAAAATAATAAACTAATGGTAAAATTCATACTTTGAATTATTCACTGGCATTTACTATTAATCTATCTATGATAATTAGGCTTGTGCAGTTTGGCTGGAGGGCGATCTGTTTTTGGTATCCGAATTTCATTGGGTATCCAGATCCGTTTTCGGGAGCCTCCCAAATATTGGCAAATAGAAAAATCTGTTTTTGGCTAGGCAACCAAAAGATCTGGGAAGATCCGGCCGATTGGCTACAATGAGGAACTTACAAGGCTCCCCTTTCCATTCCTGGGATCCCTACCTTTCTAACTTCCAAGTGGGGCCTGGGTTTGAGTAATGGGGTTAAGGAAGCACCCTTCCTGGGACCCTTTTTCTTCCTTTCAAGGGAGCCTGGTTTCGAGGAACAGGGTTAAGAAAGCATCCTTCCTGGGCTCTTTCTATTTCTTCCTTTTAAGGGAGCCTGGTTTTGAGCAACAGGGTGAAGGAAGCACCCTTCCTGGGCTCCTTTTCTTTCTTCCTTTCAAGGGAGCCTGGGTTTGAGGAACGGGGTTAAGGAAGCACCCTTCCTGGGACCCTTTCCTTTCTTCCTTTCAAGGAAGTCTGGTTTTGAGGAACAGGGTTAAGGAAACATCCTTCCTGGGCTCTTTCTCTTTCTTCCTTTCAAGGGAGCCTGGTTTTGAGCAATGGGGCGAAGGAAGCATCCTTCCTGGGCTCCTTTTCTTCCTTCCTTTCAAGGGAGTCTAGGTTTGAGGAACGGGATTATGGAAGCATCTTTCCTGGGCTCTTTCTCTTTCTTCCTTTCAAGGGAGCCTGGTTTTGATTAACGGGGTGAAGAAAGCATCCTTCCTGGGCTCCTTTTCTTTCTTCCTTTCAAGGGAGTCTAGGTTTGAGGAACAAGGTTAAGGAAGCATTCTTACTAGGCTCTTTCTCTTCCTTTCAAGGGAGCCTGGTTTTGAGCAACGGGGTGAAGGATGCACCCTTCCTGGGCTCCTTTTCTTTCTCCCTTTCAAGGGAGTTTAGGGTTGAGGCATGGGGTTAAGGAAGCACCCTTTCTGGACTACTTGTCAATTTTCCTTTCAAAGGAGCCTGAGTTTGAGGAATGGTGTTAAAGAAGCATGCTCTGTGTAATCCGAAATAAAAGGGAGGAAGCCATATCTTGCAGCTATGTGAGCCGTTTCGGGCAAAAAAACAAGCACATGGTGGCTGGGCTCTTGCCATTACAGCTATCTAGAGAAGCCTAACAAGTCAAAGAAACCAAAGGAAAACAGCTAAAATGGATCTGTGCACGTCTAGTGATAACTGTAAAAGGAAGGTTTTTGCCGTCTTTCAAACAATGACATTATCACTCTTTAAAAAAGGACAGGTTACAATGCCAGGATGCCTGGCGAGGAGGAATCAGGGTGATCAAGCAAGCTAAAGATAAGCCCAAGGTCTTGGGATAGGTACATCTGTCATTCAAGCAGTACATTACTTGGAAATCAGTCAAGTAGAAATTAACACTCAAATGAAGTGTTTTAATATGCCTGTTTATTAAGCAAACTGAAGGCTGAACTGAACCTGTAGACAATGCTTTAGTTACAAGTGCGCATAAATCATGGTTTACTGGGGTTCTTCTGCAGTTAAGATGAATGAGATTGCTTTGGTGGATATCCATCAGCATTCAGGAGCCAGTGGATTGAAGTAGCAGTTTCAGAACTTAGCCTTGGGACTTGTTTT